CATAATGTATTCTGCGGACTTCATGTCCTTTAATTGAATTTATTTCCGGCACCTTTGGCTAGCCGGCATTCATCCAACTAAATGACCAGTCGTACCGATGCTTTTCGACTCGATTAGCTTCATTTGAAGTTTTATCACCGGTTAATTCTTTCACTGGAAATAAGCCTGATACCTCTTCCGCTCCGTTTGGAAAGGACGATTCAAAGCAGGATATCACTCTTAACAATCAAAATGATGATCAATATTTTCATTACGTTCTTCCTGAACTTGCTCATTTAAAAGATTCTTCTCAATATTCCTCATTAGATATATTTTCTCATTGTTTAAATACATCAACTTCATCAGATCATTTGATAGATAGTTATAATCAAACCAATCAATCTAATATAAGTAATGTACGTGTTTCACTTATTTCTACCACAAATATGTCAAATTGTGCGGCCGGTAATGATGAGGGACGGATTAATGTTATGCAAGTTAATAGTGAACCAACAGATATTGATTTTCACAAGAAATTGAAATGTTTAAACTGGTGTTAAAAAGGCTATAAAATTTCTTTATTGATTTCTTTCGTTTAAAAAATCTTTTTATTAATTTTTAATTACATTTGTTATTAATATTATTCACAATAATCCTTTCAAACCTATTTTACAAATAAATATCTGATATATAATATATTTACATATGTTTATACATATAGTAATTATAAATTGCAAAAAAAATCGTTAATATTAACTGAATTATTGATTGTTATAATGATATGAATCATGAATACTTTCTACAGAATGTAAAAGCCGATCAACTAAATTATCACGGTTTTCAATGCACTGACAACTGTAAACAGGGGATCTTCTGGGACAACCTAATCTGTCACACCAGACAACCTATCGAGAGAGGCGTGTTATATTTGACGAGTGGCAAGTCAAGGCTTCGGTCGTCGACACTTCGGGGTAACTTATTACAAATAACCACAGAAATCCACTTTATGTCACACAATAACCACTGCTGGGGCCTTCCACTTGGACCTCAACCCGGAACAATACAATCAACTACAACTATCCTCGGTACGTTGGGAGAGCTCGACAATAACAACCATGGCTATCTCAGTACGTCGAGAAAATAGCCGGACAGAATAACGTTAATATCACGTGTACAATCAATAAGACGAAAGATCGTACTACTATGCCACTTAGTAGATCACTTAGTTATTCAATGAATGTGAGGTAATGAAGTAATTATGATCACCAAGGATGATTTACTCTAAAGCGAAACGCCTTTATTATATACTTTCTTTTACATAGGACGAACTATACATCTTATCAGTGATATAGTACTTGTATTACTTATATTACTTATAACGCTTATACTGATTTTAATTTCTATACTACTTAAAGCTTAATCACTAAAGATACGATAGAACTATAGTACCGGAAAACCCATTTATGGTGTGATCTTCACAGCCGTTAAGCCATTAATCGTGTCACGGCAGATTCTCGATTTTGATTGGCTAAGAGCGACGATCAAAAGATTAGGCCGGAATTACTCATAATTTTACTATGAAATCGCAGCCGTCTACTGTTCCTGGGCCAATTTTACCATAATATGGGCTTATTTTTTAAAAATTTCTATTTTTGTAAAGAAAAGATTAAAAGGTCAATTCCGGCCGAAATTAGTAAACAATTATGTAATGTGGGCCAAAATTTTTAAGATCCTCGGCCGTTAGCCAATCAAAATCGAGGATCTGCCGTGACAATTTTGTTGTGGCAGCTATGGAACAGGAGGAACTGATGATGTTACACAACTGATTTTACACACGTTGTGAAACACATAAAAAAATTATTTTACAATACTTTGATCGGACTTGATCAGTCAGCTAGTACATGTTATGATTATA